CCTGTCCTGTGTGAGACCGTGTCTGCAGCTTAGGGGACTCCTTGCTTCACCCCTGTCCTGTGTGAGACCATGTCTGCAGCTCAGGGTAGAGTAGGCTGTAGCCTCATTGCAGATAATTCACCTCCTTGAATTCTTTCAATATTGGGATACTTTGTTTTACATACTTTTTTTACAGTACTGTGTAGAAAATTGCAAATTTACTAAACTTGAGTGTCTCAGTATGAAGGCAGATAAGGTTTTGTTAATCTTACAGGGGATTATTTATGATATTTGAGGTAGTGGGTACATTTTCATTCAAATTTCAGAAAATTGCTATCTCTATCAATTTAATTTTGAGGGCGCTAATTTTATAATTGATTTGGAATTTAGTTCAGGTTTTTATTTCTGAAGTATAATTGTTACATATTAATTACCCAGCCTTTTTCTCCCTCTGAAATACCTATTGTAGGCCATGGCCCAAAAGGAAGACATGGAAGAAAGAATCACTACTCTTGAGAAACGCTACCTCGCCGCACAGCGTGAAGCCACATCTGTGCATGACCTCAATGATAAACTTGAAAACGAAATTGCAAATAAAGATTCTATACATCGACAGGTAGTTGGTTTATGGACCTTTGTCTAGCTTTCCTTGATATGAATAAAATTTAGGAAAATTTTTATAATCTCAGAATACTATATTCAAGAAGTGTGGGTTACTCCAGCTTACAAGCTTTGATTATTTAGGATTTGATTTAACCATTTTGTGGAGCTATATTTGATTCTTGTATTTTAATTGAAAGTCAGTCTATTCCTTGTGAGAATTTTTACCAAAGGATCATAGAGTGATTAAGAACTTTAAGGCAAAGGGCTACTTGTTAGTAACTGGGAATAATATCATAAATGGCAAATTTAGAAATTAAGTCTGTAATAAGAATTTGTATCTTTTTTGGTTTGGTAAATCATACTCCTGTTTCTCTGTGGTCTTAGATAATCAAGAGTTATCGGCTCGGCGCCTGTGGCTCAGGCTTGGCGCCTGTGGCTCAAGCGGCTAAGGCGCTAGCCACATACACCTAAGGTGGCGGGTTCGAATCCCCAGCCTGGGCCCGCCAAATAACAATGATGGCTGCAACCAAAAAAATGGCCAGGCGTTGTGGCGGGCGCCTGTAGTCCCAGTTACTTGGGAGGCTGAGGCAGGAGACTCGCTTGAGCCCAGGAGTTGGAGGTTGCTGTGAGATGCCATGGTACTCTACCGAGGGGGATAGCTTGAGGCTCTGTCTCAAAAAAAAAAAAAAAAAAAAAGAGTTATCCAGAAATACCTACATTAGGCATCTTGAAAATAAAGCATCTGGTATTTTATAAACTGTATTTTATACACTTTTGTGTATAATTTATGTAATTCATGAAAGGCAGATTACAAAAAATGTATCACAGAATAATGGTGTATTTTTTGAGGGTCTTAAAGCACGATATATATTTGGATATATGGAGATAAATGCACATAGAAAAAGGGGAAAGTGCATATAAACAAATGTTAACCTCTCAGGAACTTAGACTTCCAGATGGTTTGTAAATTTTTTTTTTTATTAAAGAGATAGGGTCTCACTCTATTGCCCAGGCCACAGTAATCATAGCTCACTGTGGCCTCAACTCCTGTGTTTAAAGGATCCACCTGCCTTAGCTTTCTGAGTAGCTAGGACTACAGACATACACCACCAAACCTGGCTAATTTTTTTTATTTTTAGAATGGGGTCCTGATATATTCTTCAGATTGGTTTCAAACTCTTAGTCTGAAGCAATCCTCCTTGGTTTCCCAAAGTACTAGGCTTAGAGGCATGAGCCACCGTGCCTAGCCCTGAGTTTTTAAAAATCTTCTTCTTCTTTTTTTTTTTTTTTTTGTTGTTTGGCGGGCCCTGGGCTGGATTTGAACCTACCAGCTCAGGTGTATATGGCTGGTGCCTTAGCTGCCTGAGCCACATGTGCCAAACCTTGAAAATGTTTTTTAAAAATTATAATTTTAAATGATGAAGTCTCACTGTGTTGCCCAGGCTGGCCCCCCAACTCCTGGGCTCAAGAGATCTTCTCACTTCAGCTTCCAAGCAAGCTGGGTCTACAGGCACACACTATTGTACCCAGCTTTACAATCTTCTCTCTTTATTTATTTATTTTTGGGACAGAGTCTAAGTTGCTCTTGGTAGAGTGCCGTGGTGTCACAGATCACAGCAACCTTAAACTCTTGGACTTAGTGATTCACTTGCCTCAGCCTCCCAGGTAGCTGGGAGTACAGGCGCCTGCCACAACACCCAGCTATTTGTTGTCATTGTTGTTGAGCAGGCCTGGGCCGGGTTTGAACCTGCCTGCCTCAGTGTATGTAGCTGGTGCCCTAACCACTGGGCTATGGACACCAAGCCAATCTTCTGTTAAATGTTCTACATTGAGATTTTTTTAGAATAAGAGTGGTTTTTAAGAAAAGAATAATCATGCATTTAAATAACTTGACTACCATTTCTTTAGGCATGCTCTTGGAAGAGCTATATGAAAAAGATGATGAGAACCATATTTTGGTTTACCAGCAATCTGTTTATTATTATTATTATTATTTTTTTTTCTTTTGCCTAATCTTGATGTGGGGTTTCTTTTCCTGAGGTTATGTACCAAATTCTTCTTACTTAAACTTTTCAGTTTATGAGCAAGCTGGCCAGGTTCAGTGGCTCATGCCTATAATCCAGTCCTACCACTCTAAAAGGCCGAGGTGGCTGGATCTGTCAAGCTCAGGAATTCAAGAGTGAGACCCTGTCTCTACTGAAAATAAGAAAAATGCCAGGCGTCTGTGGAGGGTGCCTGTAGTCCCAGCTACTTGGGAGGCTGAGGCAGGAGTATCGCTTGAACCCAGGAGTTTGAGATTGCTGTAGTTTGGCTGATGCCGCAGCACTCTAGTCTGTATGACAGTGTCTCAAAACAATGAACAAACTGGCTGGGTATGGTGGCTCATTCCTATGATCCAACACTTTTGGATGTTGAGGCAGGAGTATTGCTTGAGACCAGGAGTTTAAGATCAGTCTTGGGCAACACAGTGAGACCCCCCTCTCTACACAAAATTTAATTAGCTGGGCATGGTGTTGGGCACCTTTAGTATATAGGAATCTATTTGATTTTTCTTTTAAAGCTTCTTTAAAGATATTTAGGAAAAGCAAATATTTGGCAGGAGATGTTTATGTTTTGCACACTGGAGTGAAGCTGTGGAAGCAGCAATCCTGGCAGCAGGAAAGCCTTACCTGGAAGCAGCTGCCAGAGCTGTAGTGAGTCCGTCATACTGAGCTCAGTTAGGGTCTGAATTCAGTTTGTTTCAACCTGTGGGAAACAGTTATGGCTAGATTTGCTGCATTGTGATGCTTTGCTCTCATTTCATAGACTGAAGACAAAAACCGCCAGTTACAGGAACGCCTGGAATTGGCAGAGCAGAAGCTGCAGCAGACTCTGAGAAAGGCTGAGACCCTCCCCGAGGTGGAGGCGGAGCTGGCCCAGAGGGTCGCAGCTCTTTCCAAGGTGCTGTCTTGGGCTTGGTTCTGGATCAGATGCCAGGATTTTGATTGTGATTCTGATTTGTTCATGTGCCTTGTTTATTGCTGTTCTTATCTCAGTGTATCTAAATCCATGAATAGCTCTGATTTGCTTTGAGTGCTGTTTTCTCTGAGGTTAGAATTTTTCAGTGTCAGACACGATCCTCCCTTTTTGGTATCCTTGAATCTCCCTACAGTTTTGCCAGGTGTATGCTGTTGGGCCACAGTATGTGTGACCTGAGTTACTGTTTCCTATTTTAGTCACTAACTTAAAGCATTGGCTAGAAGCTTCATGCAAAGGAAGGATAGTTTTTCTCAGAAATAGGAAATGATAATGAAAATAAATGTGTAATAAATTAAGTAGTTATATTTCAAATTTACTTAAAAATGTGTTTTTAAGTGATATTCATTCATTTGTTCAACTGTTGGGTCTGCATGTTCAGGGCACAGTCTCTGCCCTCAGAGTTCTCACCATCCCTGAGGGAAGAAGGCAGGTAGCGGCAGTCAAATGCCGTAACAGGGGAGGCTTGTGGGCACGTACCCAGGCAAGCTGGCAGCTTCCCGGGCACAAGGAAGGCCTAGCCCTGCCCTGCTGGTGGCCTTGGCTGGGCAAAGGGAGCAGTGCAGGCTGAGGCCCAAGTTGGCACCTGTCAACAATCCTGTTTCTCCTGCCTGGAGCGTGGTGAGCTGCTGGGGAGGGACAGTGAGAAGGTGCTGGGTCCTGACCAAGCATCCTGCTGCTAATGGGGAGTGTTGGCCGGTCAGATACTGGTATCTAGGGTCACGTGTCTGTTCCTCTGAGCAAGTTTGTTGCCGGTAGCTGTAACCTTTCCTCCCGCTCTGTGATCTGCTTTTAAAGTCTTGGTTTCTCTTCTCCCCTGTTATCTTTCTTGCCCCGTGTTGGCTTTGTAGTCTGACCTTTTGTCTTCCGGGAGCTCTGCTGCTAAGGAAGCTAAACTGTTCGAACTTACTTCCAAGCTTAGGAAGGTAGAACTTGTGCACTGCTCCTTACTTGTGCTCGCTGCTTTCTGCTTTCCCTGCTGACTAACCAGTGATCTGAGGGTGGGGAAAGTCACAGATCTTGGAGATGGGGCATGGGGTGGGAAGCACAGTCAGTCGCCAGCACTAGCCATGCTTCAGAAGCACCTACTGGAGAGGGCTGAGCACGCGCAGCCACGGCGGGTCTCACGAGGTGGGAGTGAGCGTGACGGGAACGGTTCACACAGAGCATGTTGTGCTTGTCAGCTGCTGCAGTAGCTACGGCATGTCGTTAGGTGGGGTGAGCACAAGGTCAGCTTACGTGTTTTCTTCTTTTTGCTGACAGGCTGAAGAGAGACATGGCAACATTGAAGAAAGGTTACGACAGATGGAAGCGCAGTTGGAGGAAAAGAATCAAGAACTACAGCGGGTAAGTGGCGGCTGGGCCAGAGGCTCTGAGGGGTGGCCCGGGCAGACTGGCCTCTCTTCCTTTTCTCCCTCCTATGCTGCCTCTACCCCCAGTTGAGACAAGGTCCTGCAGCTTGATTCTCATTGGTGCATTTATTTTGTGGCCTTATCTGTTCCTTGTCTCCTGATATGTGCATCTCACACATTGGTGGTTTTTTGTGGGTATTGGTAGCCTTAGAAGAAGTCTGTGATCATCAGTAGTACTGCAGGGAATATATGGATCTCTGTGTCCGGGAAGACTTCTGCAGCCAATAAATATCCTGTCAGGGGGGCTGCCTTAGGTATAGGAGGGACCTGCGATTCCCTCTACAAATCTGTGGTGCTGGAGTGAGGACCTTCCCTTGAAAGGCAGAGGGGAAGCCCATATCCTACATAATCCATCCCAAAATAAAATAAGCCAAACAGTGAGTATTTCTGAGTAAGCGGAACATTGTAACTGAGCTGCAATCAAAAGAGCATTAAGAGAACAGGGCGTTGGAGGGCCTGCCGGCTGGATCCTGGAGAGCTTTCCCTGGAAGAGAAGATACAGTGAGAACGGTCCCAGGGCCAGCTGGCACCAGGCCTGGCATGTTGGTGGCTTTCTCTTTAACAAGTGAGTTGAGGGAGGAAACAGGAAGCATCTAGTTCTAGAACCCCAGGTCAGCTTTATGACACCAAGATACTGTTTTCAGCAGAGACTCAAATGAGCATCCAAGAAGATTCTGGCTGTCAGGATGGGATTGCATATTAGGCAGTCCCCCTCCCTGCCACATGCAGGGACACCACTAGGCACCCAGTCTTACCTGATAAGCAGAGGATTACAGTGTCACATTTCATCATTATTGGAAGTGGTTTATGGTGTGACGAAGGGCAAGTGTTGCAATAGGGGTGTTTATAAATAAGGTAATTAAAAGTAAACGTCAAGCTAACTTGCTTTTAAAACACTCAATGCTGAGAGAGAATAAGCATGATTTTATAAAGAAGGAGTATCAGACACACTGTGTTGTGCATGAGGCATTTGGACCCTTTTGATCATGGTAATTGCTCATGTTCTGAGTGCTTCATGTTCAGCCCGTAAACAGCCTTAAGAGAGAGGGGCGAGGCCACTGCCCGCATCTCACCAGTGAGGAAGCTGAAGGTGCAGGGCTTGGACATACTGCTGAGGCCTGTAGTAAGCCTGTGAGTTCAGCCCTCCTACCTGGCAGCATGACTTGAGTGCACAGCATAGCTCCTGTGCTCACTGCCCTCTGCCTGGGAGGGTCCTCTTCAGCACCACAGAGACACTTGGAGTATTAGGGCACAAAGGTGCTGCCTGGATGGGCTGCCTGCTGGTGCCTCCTGCCCTCTGACCTGTCACTGGTGTTCATGCAGCACAAGGGGCAGAAACAGAGCTGTTCACATTGATTTTAGTTTTTTGAAAGAGACTTGTCAATTTTAATACCATGTTTTAGAAACACTTAAGGTAATTATATCTGTCTGTCTGTCTTGAGGCAGAATCTCACTTTTGTCACCCTGAGTAGAGTGCAATGGCATCATAACTCACAGCAACCTCAAACCCTTGGACTCAAGTGATCCCTCTTGCATCAGCCTCTTGGGTGCCTGCCACATGCCTGGCTAGTTTTTCTATTTTTAGTAGAGACAGGTCTTGCTCTTGCTTATGCTGGTCTCAAACTCATGAGCTCAAGCAATCCACCTGCTGTAGCCTCCCAGATTGCTAGGATTATAGGCATGAGCCACTGTGCCTGGCTAGGTAATTATACTTACTCTTTTTTTTTTTTTTTTTTTTTGGAGACAGAGCCTCAAGCTATCCCTCTGGGTAGAGTGCCATGGCATCACAGCTCACAGCAACCTCCAACTCCTGGGCTCAAGTGAGTCTCCTGCCTCAGCCTCCCAAGTAGCTGGGACCACAGGCGTCCGCCACAACGCCTGGCTGTTTTTTTGGTTGCAGCCGTCATTGTTGTTTTTGGCGGGCCTGGGCTGGATTCAAACCTGCCACCTTAGGTGTATGTGGCTGGCGCCTTAGCCACTTGAGCCACAGGCACCGAGCCTATACTTACTCTTTTAATAAAAATTTCCGTTATGAGAAATTCAATCAGTGTAGATGCATAAATAAAAATATGTGAGCATCTTCTTTGATTGACCAATTTGTTTTTAAAACAAAGTTTTTGGCCTGGTGCAGTGTCAAGCCTGTAATCCTAGCACTCTGGGAGGTGGAGGAGGGTAGATTACTTGAGCTCAGGAGTTTAAGACCAGCCCAAGCAAGAGCAAGATCCCATCTCTACTAAAAACAGAAAAACTAGCCAGGCGTAGTAGAACACACCTATAGTCCTAGCTATTTGGGATACTGAGGCAGGAGGATCCTTTGAGCGCAGGAGTTTGAGGTTGCAGTGAGCTACCATGCTGCTGCACTTCAGCCTGGGTGACAGAATGAGACCATGTCAGAAAACAAAACAAAACAGATTTTTTTTTAACCTTTTATTTTGTAAATTAGTTTTTCTTCCCATGAGTTCAGACCCAAGCTTTTATCTACTTTAAGGGAAATTCCTCTACTGATGCCTTAATATGCTGATTCCTTTATATGTCTGCTGATTCCTGTGCGTAAAGCTGCTAAGTCCATCTGACAGTTAATGACTGGCAACATTCCTGAGGCCCCAAGAGTACTTAGTTCACCAGAGGCAATGCAACCTTTAGTTAAGGGTCTTGCCAAGTCTTGTCCCTGTGTTTCTCCACGCTTGGGGCCACTGAAAATGGCAGGGAGGGGCATCCGGGGCGATGGTGCCAGTGGGTCGCCCGCAGGCCACCACCTTGATCCCTACACTTTTGCAAGAATGAGCAAATGTTTCCTTCAAGTTTATAAGTCTCTGATTTTCATATTTCAGGCAAGGCAGAGAGAAAAAATGAACGAAGAACATAACAAACGTTTATCAGATACTGTTGACAAGCTGCTTTCAGAATCTAACGAGAGGCTTCAGCTCCACCTGAAGGAGAGGATGGCTGCTCTGGAGGACAAGGTAGGGCAGACCGCATGTCACCCTGGAGCCCTCCCTCCTTTTACAGAGAGGCCATCCCTCCTCTCCTGAGGCGTGATGCATAGTAGTGGTTGGCAAGCACAATGGGAAATGGGGATGATTCTTTAGAGTGGAAAAAGTAACAGACTATTATCTAGACACTGAGTTAACTCACTTTTTGCTGTGTCCTTGCCTCATTTGCCTGTATGGAAAATTATGTATCATTCTTACTAGGGCAGGAGTAAGCAAGTGGTATCTATAAAGGACCAGATATTTTTGAATTGTAGTAATTAAACAATTTTGTGCTAATCAATAATTAGCATAAATACAACAATACACAACACATGAGTGAATGGATGTGATTGTGTTCCAATAAAATCTTATTTATAAAAATAGGCAGTGGACAGATGGCCAGTGGATTCTAGTTTTCTGGCACCTACGCTAGAATCCGCCCCCCCCCACCCCTTGGCTCAATTCTCTTCCCTTTCTTTATCACCTTTGCTTTGGAAGTTAATTTTTGTCTCCTTTATAAATGGAACACTAAGGAGTATGGTATAAAAGATTTAATCAGCTGAAACCAAATATTCTCTCATTCCTCCTCCTGTCACCAGAGAGAAGGGACATCCTAGAACCCGTGTCAGTGACATTCTAGTGGGCTGCACGTGGGGTCAGGTCTGATAGAACCTGGCCTGCCTGCACCAGTGCCTCTCGAGATAAGACTCAGAAACTCCCTGAAACTGGCTCTTCTGGTTGAGGAGCTCATTTGAGGGAGACCAGTAGTTATGACACATGTGTTTTATACAACACTGCCTCAGAGTTCATGGTTAGAGAACAGATAGAGCACCTTACCTCCTTGATTAGTGGACTATCTTTAAGGTAAGAATGTTTTTATCTTGGATTTTAATTACACATTTGAAACTTAATTTTAGTTTTCCCAAGTGACCAATGAATTGCAAAATCTAGAAGTTAGTATAACCCAGTTAAACTGATTAAAATAAACTTGCACCATGAACCCCTGACATACCTACATTTAGAAAATTGGGTCAGTGAAGGAGTAGATTTTATGTGAGTAGAAGTGATCACAGTCAGTGTGTGACTGAAACACAGCTCGCTGGTGTGTTCATCTGATCCATTCCCTTTGTGGGGCACTTTGTTTTTTAAATTGTAGCCATATTATGTATCACAACATGTCAAACAGTAAGGGACTATTGGTCTTTTTCAGAATTCTCTATTACGAGAAGTCGAAAATGCAAAAAAGCAATTAGAAGAAACGCAACATGATAAGGTACTTAAAAAATCTTCTCTGATTCCTTTTGCAACTGTTGAGAGCTGAACTGAATGGCACCTATCAGAGGATTACTACAGGTGCTTGGCAGAGGGTGAGATGAACTTGTCCTCCGGCTCTCACAGTCCACTGCCGTGAGGTTTATAGCACTCCTGGTTAGTACATTGAACATCTTTGTGTGTTAGATTCAATGTGTATGGTTGAAAATTCTTTCTAGGTATATTTACAAATAAAATATTAGCATAGAGCTTTCTTCCATAATAATACTGTCCAACAGTTATACAGTATGAACCAGATACATAATTTTCAATTTTTCTTTCGTTTCTATTTTTTTTTTCTTTTCTGAGAGAGGGTCTCACTCTCTTACCCAGGCTGGAGTACAGTGGCATCCTCATACCTCACTGCAGGCTGGAACCCCAGGGCTCAAGGGATCCTCCCAGCCCAGCCTCCTGAGAAGCTGAGACTGTAGGCATGTGCCAACACGCCCAGCTAACTTCCATTTTTAGTAGAGACAGGGTCTCACTCTTGCCCAGGCTGGTCCTGACCTCCCAGAGTGCTAGGATTATAGGTGCAAGCCACCATGCTGGTCTGGTCATAATTTTTAATTTTCTAATAACCCTATTATAAAAAGTAATAAATGATATAATTAATTTTATTTAACCCAGTATATCCAAAATGTTACCGTTTTGTACTGCATTAATAGAAAGTAAAAATGAGCTACTTGATATTCTTTTTTCCATATAAGTCTTTGAAATTCGCTGTGTGTTTCGTAGTCGCAGCACACTTCAGGTTTGGCAACCCATTTCAAGGGCTCAGTAGCCATGTGTGGCTAGTGGCTACTGTACTGGACACAGATCCAGAGATAAGATCAGGTGTGCCGAGGACACAGGAATGAGTATGCGCTTGTATAAAACTGTTAAAAACAGTGCAGAGACGTACCGTAGAAAGCGAATGTTTACCTTTTGCACCGAAAGAGTTGTTTCTGTCTGCAAAATTAATAATTGTTAATGGTTTGGTGTTTATCTTCCTGTAACCTTTCTATGACTAAGACACAGTTTTTAGTTCATTAAAGTTTGCAAAGTTAATTTGGTAGTGTTGATGTTATGTTTGCCACAATATTCTTAGAGAAAATTTTCTCAGAATTGTTAAGTGTTTGGTGTGTAAGCTGCTCGTTTAACCTGTTATGATTATACTCAACATCTGAGCACATTTAAAGCAAATTGTTTTAAAACCTAAAAGAGCAGCTATAAATTTAAGTCTTTCACTGTTTTGTAGGATCAGCTTGTCTTAAATATTGAAGCATTGAGGGCTGAACTGGACCAGATGAGACTGAGAGGTGCTTCACTCCATCATGGGTATGATGCTAACCAAGCAGCAGCTGTGTTTGCGGTGCCTGCTGTCTGTCTGTAAAGGCCCGCCAGTGGAGCTGAGCAGAGCGCGTGCCTGACTTCACAGAGCCTGTGGCTTAGTGGCAGCAAAGAGGAGTGAAGTAGCCCAGGGCTAGGGCTGGGTCCCTGAAGAATGTTACTGTCATAGTCAGGCACACAGAGGAGCTGTGGACAGTGGCGCATGATCAGTCAGTGTTGGGATACATTGATTTGGGTGGAGTGTGATCCTCCTGATAAGGGATAGGAGGATAGACCCCAAGGTGAGAGATGGCAGGGCTAGGATTCCTGGGAGGGTGGCTGCACTCCCAGGAGGCTGCTCAGGGAGGTGCCACACAGCTGGAATTTGAGAAGCACCTTGGGATTCATGGAATATAGTACGCTATTTGGGACTTCTAATACTTTTTAAGAGATTCTGAAAGTTTAGGATATGTCATTTTATTTATTTTTTTTAGAAACGAGACCTTATTATTGCTGACCTCAAACTCCGGAGCTCAAGCAATCCTTCTGCCTCAGTCTCCCTAGTAGCTGGGACTACAGGCACATTCCCCCATACCTGGCTTTTTAAAAAAAAATGAATTCACGTATTGATTTAAGTCTGCTGAGATATGACTGAGCTGACTGGCGTAGGAGGTCCTCACTTGGCTGTGGGTGCGTCTGGCAGACGGCCCAGCATATGAGCCTCCTGCATTCTTATTTTTTTCCTGCTCATTGTCAGAATCAGTCTTTCTCATTAAGGTGCTCAAGTTTTTCTTTTGTTTCTTTATTGGAAGTGAGAGTTAACTTTTAGGAAACATGATTGAAACGGTGGACTGCTGACACGAGTCTATAGGAAACAGGTTCCTGCTTGAGAGATGATTAAGGAGAAACTTGGGGTCTCTGTACACACGTCTGCCTTTGCAAATTCATGGTGTTGTTAAGGTCTGGGGTATCTGGTGGCTGGTCCCCACTGAACCTGCTCCTAGAAAGCGGGAATGGAAATCGGTGAAGATAGCACTAGAGAGTCAGAGTCAGAACTCTCGTGTCTCTGAGCCCAGGGGACAGGGGACTGCCCAGGAGAGCATATGTGTTTGCAGAGGAGGTGTGGGTAGGGGAAGGCAGGGCCAGAGAAAAGTCTCTTGACTTGATGAGGAAGATCCTCAATGGTGAGTAGCTAGTGCCACTCCAGCAATAGAGACAGTGAGTGAGACGTGTGTCTAAGAAAGTGCCGCGTGAGTAATGGATGCGAAGAAGTGACTCAGAGCCATCACTCTAAAGTGACAGGAGGAGCTGCCGCCACGCCTCGAGGCTGGTGGAGTTGGGGGGCAATTGGAGGTGGAGGAGGCTCACCCACGTTTGCCAGCCACGGAGGGTGGGACTTTGAAAGTGAGTGATGGCAAGAGAGGATCTATTGCTCTAGAAGCTCTGAGGAGGTAGCAGGGTGCCCCGAGACTTGAGTCAGAGGTGGTCATGTGGGTGTGAAGAGAGGAGGCACAGAGGCTCCTCTCTGGAGGACAGGATTTGCTCAAGCAGACAGACCTGAGATTTCACCTCAGGAGGCTATGGGGAGAGGCTGAGGGTGGAGGTTGATGTGGGCTGGGGGAAGGGTGAATTGGGGGCTGCCCCCGAGGCCCTCAGACCCCAGGCTTGGTCTTTATGCCCTGACAATGAATCAGTCCTCTTGTTTTTGCTGTAATCTAATGTAGCAAGAAAAGGTGGCCTCACTGGAGGAGTGGACAAGAAAGCTGACAGCTGGGCTCTGTAAATAGATGGGGCTGGAGAATGGGTGGCCATGGGCTGGGGGCTAAGTAGGAGGAAAGCCAGCCTGGGAGAGGGCGTCCTGGTGAGGTAGCTTTGGGGGCTTCAGAGGATCGTGAGCCATCCAGAGCACACATGGTATTTATTGTGTGGACATAGCTTTTGTCCAGTTTCAGAATGTTTCAAAACCCTGAGCAAGAAATGGTCCAAGGAGCAATTTCATTAATTCTGAGAGAACAGGGGAAGTAACAGGAAAGTTGTGAGCAAAGGGAAATTCCAGACTTTGGCATCTTACGGCAGTCACTCTTTTCACATAACACTGAACAGAGCCATTTCCTGCAGACACATTCCTGGGTGTGTGAACCAGAGGTAGGTGTGCTGGCCTGTGTGGCGTGTGGAGCTGGCCCTGGTGTGCATGTGGTCTGGAGAGTCGCGTGGGGTCCTCTGTGTAACTCAGTGCAGTCGGAGGAATGGGCTCTGTCTCCCAGGATCTTTGCCTCCTGAGGATTTCTGAAAAGGAAGGGAGCCACCCTTCTTTCCCAGAGAACCAGGGGTTCCTAGAGTAGGTGACCAAGAGTTGTCCCAGACAGAAGTGGCAGGTGCCATGGCTGTGGCTGGTGCTGGCAGCGCTCACCCCCTGCTGCCCAGCCCCTCTCTGGGGCCTTTGCTGACAGGAACCGTACAGTGGCTCACTCCAGCACCTCAGGCTCCGTTGCTCAGAGCTCTGCTCCCTTCTCTCTAGGCGCTTCTTCAGGTGAGGGTGTTGGTTTTCTGCTAATATACTTGCACACATGTCTGAAGTGAGCGGCCAGATCCAGTTTGTAGAAGCCCACCTCTGGTTGAAGGAGCTTCAGAGGTGGGGCCTGGCCGGGGAGGGGACCCCAGGTCTCTTCACACTCCAGGCAACTGGATTCTGTCTGGCTCAGCTTCGTGGCTGTGGCCAGCTGCAGTGGTTTTCCTGGAGGGCGAGGCTTTCCACCTAGTGGTGCTGAAAGACTGAACGCTGGCCCGGAGTGGCCAGCATGTAGCTCCTGGGCAAGCAAGAGAGATGCCCTCCTTGGAGACCATTTTCTCTGGAAAGCCTGTTTTCTAAATTGACAGGTTCTGCCTTAGCCAAAAATCAGAAAGTTTATTTTTCTTCTTGTAACAACCCTTCTTCTTTTTCACATTTCAGCCGACCCCACCTGGGCAGTGTCCCCGACTTCAGGTTCCCTGTTGCTGATGGACATGCTGATTCCTACGGCACCAGCGCAGTGTTGCGGCGTTCCCAGAAAGGCCGCCTGGCAGCCCTGAGGGAAGAGCCTTCCAAGGCAAGGCCTTTGCACGCATTCTGGCTCTGAGCTGCTCTGGAGCGAGAGTGCGGACGGCTCACTCCCCTTCTTAACTCCCCTCCAATTTTTCTTTCTCTAGCTAAGAATTTATTTTTAGGGCTTAAAAAGAAAAAGACATTCTGAAAAAGTACAGCCTTCTCTTAAATACAATACTAATTAATATGGATTTGAAGCAGTAATTAAAAATGAATGAACACATGCATTCTTCATTCAGTGGAAAGAGTTCCCGTTTAGCCGTTCAGACCCCTCAGCAGTGCATGTTTGACACGCTCCTGTGTGACTTAGCGCCCATGCTTAGCCAGCTGCCAGTCCCCATGTGGACCCGGGACTATGGCAGTGTGTGGACCACAGGCGCCTACACCCCGAGTGCACATGCTAGTGAGGAGACAGGCAGTAAGCGGATGACGATACTCGATACTCTCCTTAGCTCCTTTCCCAGCTGCCAGGAACTCGTCAGCAGTAGGCCAGGCGGCTGTCACTCAGGGTCTCAATGGGCTGCGTCTCCCCCAGTATACCTGTCCACAGGGCTGCTCGGAGGTCCTCCCACTGTGTCCGTGGCTTTCCCAGAGCTCACGTTCTAAGAGAGCTCTAGGTCTTGGAATGCACACCTTCACTTCCACTTTATTCTGCTTGTCCACATGAATCTTTAGAGTTCTGTTCACACGAGGGGAGGGAATCCCCTCTGCCTCTTGAGGCAAGAGTGTTAAAGAGTATGTGGATATTTTTATAAGCCACCCAGTGTGTCAGGTAGTAATACTAGAGAAGGGGGGAGAGCATGAGGGGGAATAAGAATTCTGAGCTGGGTGGTCAGGGAGACATTGCCCTGAGGGCAATATATGAACAAGGGTCTGAGAAGGAAGAGAAGGAGCTGTTGGGGTACACTGTTAGGTGGAGACGCAGGGCCTGCTGCAGGGTTGGACCTCGGGGAGGAGGGAGAACCCCGGCTGCAGGGAGGAGTCTGCTTTCTGAGAGGAGGAAGCCTGGGGGAGGCCTGACTGTGTTCAGGCTGCCAGGACTGTCTGATATCCAAGGGGGTGTCAGGCTGGCATGGGACAGTCCAGTGTAGAACCCACAAGAGAAGTCCAGAATGAGAGGTAAAGACGGGGATCATGAGCATGCAGATAGTGTTGAGAAACATGGGATAAGATGAGGTCACCCACAGACACCATTGACGTCACTCTGGGCTCTCCATAGTGACGTGTCAAGGGGCAGAAGAGGCCAGGAGAGGGTGGGCGCCAGGGCCTGGGGAGTGAGTGCTCCAGGGAACGGGGGGCAGTTGAACTTGACCACTCCTGGTGGGCCCCATCTGATGCACAGATGACGCTGGTCAGTGGCTGTCAGAGCTGGAGTTTGTTGGCACTTGAGCAGAGGAGGTGCTCAGAGGCAGGCTGCATGGGGTTCGAGAGCGAGGGGTAGGAGGGAGGATGAATGAATGTAGCTCCCTGGAGTAAGGAAGTGGTGGAAATTGGTAGAAGAAGACTGGGGTGGGCGGGGGTTCTGTTTTGGTGTCTTAAGGTGGGAGATGTTCATGTGCCAATAAGGAAGAATCAGTGGAAAACTGAATTCCCCTCTGTACACCAGAAGCTGGGCTAGTGCCCAGGTGGAGGAAAGGGCCACGCAGAGGGCAGCAGGGCTGTTGGCTGGGGGAGAAGGCCAGGAGGTGCTGCAGGTTTGCGGCATGAGGAGGGACGCTGGAGAGTCATGTGGCAGGGGAGGGGTGCACACGTGCCTTCTGTGCAAGGAAAAGCATAGGGATACCTTTTCTACCTGAGCTGCTGCATTTCTCTGCCACTGGCCGGCACACAGGTGCTGAGAAGCAGCGTCCGCAGGGCTTTATCTTGTTTCTTTCATCTCACTGCTGTCTTGTGCTTGTTGCCGTGCTTGTTAGTACCAGCCTCAGAAAAGGGAGGAGGATTGGGAAACTCAGATTAGGTAACACTTGCAAAATGTTATGGCAACTGAGGTGAACCCAACTGATGTGGATTGGAATCATTTTTAAAAAACTTCCCACTAGCATGGCTAAGTGGGGCATACATGTATTTTTTAATTGATCCATATTAAATGTACACATTTTCAGGGCACATAGGATAATTTGAAAAATTCATATAGTCAAATCAGGGTAATTGGGATATCCATCACCTAAATATGTATCGTTTCTTTATTTTGAGATTGTGTGTATTATTCTAGCTATTTTGAAATGTACAGTTGACTGTTCACTATAGCGAATCTGCTGATGTGTTGAACCCCAGATTTTTCTTTATCACCCTGCACTTTTCCTGGCTGATTTTCAGTTTTTATTTCTGATTCTGTCATTTCTACATTGTGAATCTCATCGTAGAAATGCTTCAGGTACACATTAATATTGGCTGGGCACAGTAGCTCAGGTCTGCAATCTTAGCACCATGGGAGGCAGAGGTAGGAAGATCAGTTGAGCTCAAGAGTTCAAGACCAGCCTGAGCAAGAGCTGAGACCCTGTCTTCACTAAAAATAGAAAAATTAACTGAGCATAGTGGTTCATGCTGATAGTCCCAGCTACTTGGAAGGCCATGCAGGAGGATTGCTTAAGCCCAGGAGGTGGAGGTTGTAGTGATCTTTGATGATGCCGCTGCGTTACGGCTGAGTGACAGGGTGAGACTCTGTCTTAAATAAAGAAGAAAAGAAAAGTTATAAGACTATCTATCTAAGTAAGTAATGGGTTATCATCCTGCCCCCCCAGTCTGTGCTGTGTATCTCAGGCTGGAGCACAGTGCCATTGTCATGACTCATTGCAATCTTGAACTCTTGGGCTCTAGTGGTCCTCCTGCCTCAGGAGTCCTCCTGAGTGGCTGGGACTAGAGGCTCACATCACCATGCCTGGATAAATTTTTAATTTTTTATAGAGATGGGAATTTTGCAATGTGGCCCAGGCTGGTTTTGAACTTAGCTTATGTTAACTTAACCTAAGAAAAGGCAAATACAGATGGTCTCAGGTCATCCTCTTGCCTTGATCTCTCAAAGTGCTGGGATTATGGGTGTGTGCTGCTGCGCCCAGCGCCTGCCCTATTTCTTAGATATTGTTTGCCAAAGATGTTAGGGATTCATTTTTCCAAAATCTTTTGAGCTTCCATTAGACAATTTTTAAATTAAATTCTTATAACTAATGTTGTTTTTAGTCTACTGAGATTTGGTTTTCTTGTTTATAGGTACAAACTCTGAATGAACAGGACTGGGAACGTGCCCAGCAAGCTAGTGTCTTGGCAAATGTAGCACAAGCATTTGAGAGTGATGTTGATGTGTCTGATGGTGAGGATGACAGAGACACACTCCTCAGCTCGGTTGACTTGTTGTCACCCAGCGGGCAGGCAGATGCACAGACATTAGCCATGATGCTTCAGGAGCAGCTGGACGCCATCAACAAAGAGATCAGGTGTGTACACTGTGCACCCCAGTCAACAGAACACAGTTGTCCCGAGGAGTCTCGGGAAAGTCTCGAACAAATACTGTCAATACTTTCTAAGTGTTCCATAGTAATAGAACTTACTTCAACTGTTCAAAGAATTTTAAGTTTCAAAAACAAAACAAAAAAAAGTATTTCAAGTTCCTGCTGGATGCAGTGGCTCATGCCTATAATCCCAGCACTTTGGGAGGCTGAGGTGGGCAGATTGCCTGAGCTTACAAGTTTGAGACTTTGTAAGCTAGAGTGAGACCCCATCTCTAAAAATAGCCAGGTGTTGTGGTGGGTGCCTGTAGTCTAAACTACTCAGGAAGCTGAGGCAAGAGAATCGCTTGAGCCCAAGAGTTAGAGGTTGCTATGAGCTATATGACCCCACTCTACCAAGAGTGACAAAGTGAGAGACTGTCTCAATAAAAAAAAAAAAAAAAAAAAAAAGAATTTCGAGTTCCCAAGATTACCTTTCATTATAAAATCCAAGTAAACAGTGCACCCTCCCCACAGTCATGGCACTGGGCCCCTTGTGTAAAACAGAGTGGGAGGTGAGGGATGTTCAGCTTCTGCCCCTGAAAACTGACAACACAGTTGGAGAGTGCGGTGGGGCTGGACCCCCTCCCTGACCCTGGCAGAGGGAAATGTGCATAGCAGGGAGTGGGGAAGAGGCTGAGTGAAGCAGTCAGGTCCTTCTGTAGGCCACTGCCAGGGCTGCTGCAGCTCACTGGGAGAGGTGGCAGAGCCTCATTCTCATAGAGTGAGAATTTGCTCACCAAAGGACAATGAGTGGTCAGATGATGAGTGTTTGAATCTTTTGAGTCTCATCGGGGTGTGTGTGTGTGTATATATATATATATATATTTTTTTTTTTTTTTTTTTTTTGAGACAGAGCCTCAAGCTATAGCCCTGGGTAGAGTGCCATGGTGTCACAGCTCACCACCACCTCCAACTCCTGGGCTTAAGTGGTTCTCTTGCCTCAGCCTCCCAAGTAGCTGGGACTATAGGCGTCCGCCACAATGCCCGGCTATATTTTTGGTTGTACTTGTCATTGTTTGGCAGGCCCAGGCCAGACTCGAACCCGCCAGCTCTGGTATATATGGCTGGCCACCTTAACTGCTTGAGCTACAGGTACCACCAAGTCTCATAAGTATTTTTTTTTTTTTCCTTTGGCTGGAGTCAAGTCTGAACCCACCACCTCCAGTATATGGGGCCAGCACCCTACTACTTTGAGCCACAGGCACTGCCCAGTCTCCTAAGTATTTTAAAGGTTCCTTTTCTTCAATAACTCATTAGCAGTTTTAACAGGAAATTTACAAAACACTGGGCCACCTGTGGGATGGAAACTAAGGAATAATGATTACGAGCCTTAGGTAACCACTGTCTATGCTAGCTTGGTCTGGGGGCACAGCAATATGGGGGGGGGGGTGCCGTGAGGTCTGCCCTGTGGCCTCAGGCCTGACACGGCCACACAGCCTGAGTCCAGATGAAGAGTGGCCATATACGTGGAACCCTGCAGCCTTCAGGGTCTGCTTTTGGGGATCTTTGCCAGTTTCTACTTTGAGGGTGAGGTAAAGAAGAGAAGGCTCCAACAAGCCTAGTGGGAAGTGGATGTGCTGCCTGTGTTTTTGGCTTCATACACTGATTTCAGGTGCTGTGTTTAAAACTGGTGAAGAGCTCAGAAAAATAGTGTTATAGTTATGGGAAATATGAAAAGATCATATATTTTTAGTAGTTTAAAATAAAGTACTGCTAGATAAAAGTGATTTTGTTTATGCAGTAAGTCAAAGTGGTATAAAGGGTAAGTTCTGTACACTGACTTGCAGCTACTCTTCTGGTAATAATGACCAAAAAACAAGTTTTCTTAGAATATGTGAGTAGAACTCTAATTGGAAGGATTACTACAAGGCTTTTGTATTTTGATGTTGGAATAATGATTACAGGCATAGGTCAGATGTAAAACCACTGTGTAGTCATCCCCAAGACTTTAGAGTAGAATAGCATTTAATCTTGAATTCTGAATTATCGTGGCTTAACATGAATGCAGAAATTCATGTGAAGCTGATAGAGAATTCCAGCAGGTGACACTTTTCTTTGAAACAATAACAACAAAGAATCCAAAACAAAACTTTAATTTAGTCTAAAGAGTTTAATGTTTCTTTTTTTTTTTGAGACAGAGCCTCAAGCTGTCCCCCTGGGTAGAGTGCCGTGGCATTACAGCTCACAGCAACCTCCAACTCCTGGGCTCAAGCGAGTCTCCTGCCTCCACCTCCCAAGTAGCTGGGACCACAGGCACCCGCCACAACGCCCGGCTGTTTTTTGGTTGCAGCCGTCATTGTTGTTTTGGCGGGTCTGGGCTGGGGATTCGAACCCGCCACCTTAGGTGTACATGGCTGGCGCCTTAGCCAGTTGAGCTATAGGCGCCGAGCCAAGAGTTTAATGTTTAAAATGGGCACAGTGACTCAGGTCTGTAATCCTAGCATTTTGGGAGGCTAAGGTGGGAGGACCTCTTGAGCCCAGAATTTTAGGATCAGCCTGTGCATCATAGCAAGACAAACAAAATTAAAGAATTATGCTGAGTATGGTAGCTCATGCTTGTAATCTCAGTACTCTGGGAGGCTGAGGTGGAAGGGTCGCTTGAGTTCAGGAGTTCAAGACCAGCCTGAGCAAGAGTGAGACCCCACTTCTACTAAAAATAGCCAAATTAGCCAGGTGTTATGGTGGATGCCTGTAGTCCCAGCTGTTCAGGAGGTTGAGGCAGGAGGATTGCTTGAGCCTAAGAGTTTAAGGTTGCTGTGAGCTAAGGTGATGACGCCGTGGCACTCTAGCCTGGGACATCAGAATGAGGCATGTTGCCACAAAAAAAAAAAAAAGAGCCATGTGTAATGGTGGGCTTTACAGTTCTACCTTCTTAGGAAGCTGAGGTGAGAGGATCACTTGAGTCCAGCAGTTTGAGATTACAGTGTGCTGTGATGATGCCATTGTACTCCAGCCTGGGTGTTCAGTGTTTGGAAAATCTCACATTGATTATGGATCAATTATTTGTATTAAAGTTTCTGATTTCTAGTTGAAGAAATGTGTAGATAAAGGTACAGCTTTACTCTAAGAATGGGGGGGGATAAGGGATGTAAAATTTAATGATCCCATTGCTTAGTAAGGAAATTGTTAGTTGCAACCACAGGCTGCCAGCCAGCCCCTTTCAAAATTGTAGTGTAGGGGTGGCACTGTGACTCAAAGGAGTAGGATGCTGCCCCATATGCCAGAGGTGGCAGGTTCAAACCCAGCCTCGGTCAGAAACTGCAAAAAAAAAAAAAAATTGTAGTGTAAATAAGTAAAATCAAGCATGAATGACAGCAATACCAATTTAACCATAGTCAGTGGAACATTTACTTATTGTTACAGTATATTTTAGAAGATTAAAAGCCAAAGGTTTTAGCTGACCTGTTAAATATTTGAGCAACTTATTATTGGAGTTTACTCATGTAGAGTATAAGCAGATGTTTTTATCCAGATGTGTGACTCTATTTGCTAATAAAGGATGACTGCTTCTGTTTCTATTGTAGGTTGATACAAGAAGAAAAGGAAAATACCGAGCAGCGAGCCGAGGAGATTGAAAGCAGAGTTGGCAGTGGGAGTTTGGACAGTCTTGGTCGCTTTAGATCCATGAGTTCCATCCCACCCTATCCTGCCTCCTCACTTGCCGGCTCCTCCCCCCCAGGCAGCGGTCGCTCCACCCCAAGGAGGATCCCCCACAGCCCGGCCAGGGAAGTGGACAGACTGGGCATCATGACTCTAGTAAGTGTCACCCTTTCTGTGTAGCGTCCCCACCCCACACACCTGTTTGAAGTCTTGGACACTGTGAACTTGCTTCTTTTTGCCCAGAAGAAAATCAAGTACATTTGTCATTCTGCGACGCTGAAGATCTTCAACCTAGCTAACGTTTAATCATTCAACTATGCCAAGTTGATTCTAGTATTTGGATGACCAGGCTGGCGTGCCACTATTAGTTTGTGTGACAGTTGGCCTGGGCAGCCGTGCAGGGTACAGCAGCCAGAAGGGAGTTTCTGTTTTTTAGGAGTGGAAAGTTAATAGAGTAAATACAGGCAAACACCAGAGCTTGTAGAAAAATGAGCAGGAGGAGTCAGCACCATCTCTTTCCTTTAGGGCCGTGAACAGGATTCCAGGCTGTGCAGTTCAGGGGAAAGAAAATGAGTAGTCAGGTGCCACACTCAGGCTCCTCACAGCCAAGCTGCTCTCCAGCCTCTTCACTCCTCAGCCTGTGGTCACTTTCCCAGGAAATGAGATGGCCTTGTGGTGTTTTGTGGCAAAGTGTGCTGCTCTAAAGGATGTTTAAAACTTCCTCATGTAATTAGTCTAGGTTTTGCGAGCACATTGCCTGGAAATCACATTTCACGTATGGCCACATTTACAGCCTCCTGCTTTCTAACTGTCCTCCTGTCATTTCTTTCTGCCCCTCCCATTTTCATTTGCGTTGTGGTGTTGGCGGCACGTGACTGACTCAGCCGGATCACTGGAGTGGCAGCCCATCTGCTTTGCAGTACTTTGACATACTTTTTTCATAACTTACATCATTGAGTAATTAGCTAATATTTAAACTCTTTGACTGTTTCATTTGTGTTTTCATGCTTATTTCCTTCCAGAGCATTTGTAAAGCCAGTCATGTGAATCTTTTTCCTGGTTTCATAATTCTGAGTGCTGGCTGATGGTCTGTGCTTCCATCATTGGTTTTGGTTTCCTGTATCATCCTTTGGTTTATTTTATTATTTTAGCCATCTCCAGACTCATCTTTAATCCAGACTGCAGGTTCACCATCAGTGTGTAGTTTGTTCAGCTCCCTGCCCCCTGGGCCACCCTGTGCTGTAACTGTTCTTCCCAACACGCACAGGTCACCAGGCAGCAGCTTGCTGGGTGATAATATGTGAGTCTGTGCTGGATTGTGACTTTATAGTGAGTTCTTGGGGCTTTTATCATTAAAAAATATACTTTTTCTTAATAGTGATGAAGTGTAATGACTATATAATAAATGTGGTTAGAGGCACGATATAGGTGGTTGTGAGTGTTTTTACTTGAATTGTGTAGGATTTATGTAATTTGTGAATGAACTATTTCCTACGTGAAGAAATAATGTTAGAATTAATGGAGGTTTCATACAAACAGTATCCTTTTAATTTTGATGATTATATTCCAGTCTATAAATCTCATCAACATATTGAAAATGTGGTTCTGTCTCTGTTTTTTGTATTAAAATATCTTACATAAATGATAGGATGTAAAGATTCTGCCTGATACTGTGCTAGCTTTTGTTCTTATGTATTTTCACAGGGTACCTTGCTTTAAGCAATAAATTTATTATTGAGAAGTTGTAAATCAAATTCTAGGTAAGGATTTTGCATTAATGTCAAATAGGTGATTAACTAAAAGTAGGTGTGTTCAGTTTTATAATAGTTGTATTGTAAAAAATTCATCAATGAGAATATTTTAAATTATAATGTGCTTTTTTTAATTCAGGAAAACTGAGTATAGAGAGGTTTTTGACTTAGAATAGACAATTATTAGGACCTTTTGTTACACAGAATGCCACAATAAATTGCATGCATTGAAATAGAATGTTCTCTCTCTGAGTAATAATATAGTATTTCTCTAGTAAATCCTGAGTAACTTCTATTTAAATGCTGTGGTGAAAGATGTTCTGTTCACAGTTACGTGTCTTCTCGGTGCTGTTGTGCTGTCTCTGTCCCGTCAGTCCCACTTTGATATGTTGGCCTGAACTGATCTTGAATTTTAACTTCAAGTATGCAGTAAATCTGGTTTCTCTTCATTTCTTTGCATGCATCTATCAGCCTAGTGATTTAAGGAAACATCGTAGAAAGGTAAATTATTTAGTAATTTAACATGTCTTTGCATCTCCATAACATACTGAAGGGTACTATCATTGTATATAAATATAATGTTATGTATTTATATAAGAATGAATGCTTGGAATTTTAAAGGAAGTGTTTAAATCTACCCAGCACCTTATGTGTGATTGTTCTCCAGAAATTATTCCTTAGTGGTTTTCACAGAACACTGGGACAAATGTAAGAGTTTGTCATCCTCCCAATTTTTTTGCCTTCTAGTCATTTCGTGCTTATTTGCCATAGATAGGGTATTTTTTAATTTTAATTTTTTGAGACACAGACTTACTCTGTATCCTGGCTATAGTGCCATGGTGTCCTAGCTCACAGCAACCTCAAACTCTTGGACTAAAGTATTTTTAAACACAAGAAATTACTGAAGCCGTAGATTTTAGATTTGGGAGAAATCTATAATGATAATAGCTAGCATTTAGTTAGCTCTCGATCTGTGCCAGGCTCTGTGCCTTACCAGGATATTACAGGTCGAGTATCCCACATCCGAAACTCTGGGGCCTGAAAGAGTTTTGGAGTTTGCGATGTGCGTTGTGCTTACTGGCCAAGAATCCAAAACCTGAAATCTTAAATCCTCCTGTGAGCATTTCCTTTGCACGTCCTGTCTATACTCAAAAAGTTTCAGATTTTGGAGCATTTCAAGTTTTAGATTTTTGGACTTGAGAAGCTCAGCCTGCATGTTATTTAATCCTCACACATATCCCTGTGAGATACAGGATGCTATTTTAACCCCTAGTTTGCAGTTGTAGAAAAGGAATCAGAGTTCACAGAATGTGTGGTACAGATTCGAGTTGAGATTTATCTGGTTTCAAAACCTGGACTGTTGACTGCATCACCATGTGTCTGGCCTTTTCTCCAGATAGTTGGATCTCCCTGGCAGCGTCCCTGCAGAGGGAAGCTTGGGGCCACTTCTCCTGGGAGTGATTGTAGATGGGGCCTTCCTCTTCTAGAGGACGTGGAGTGTGCCAGGAGCAGTTGTGCATGGTGGCTATTCTTTATGTGGACGCAAAGCCTCTTCTCATAACTTTCTTGCTCTAGTGCATATTCTGTGGCCTCTTCCAAAACCTGCCTGATGGGTCAGTGACCGGACAGCCCTTCAGAGACATAAATGCAGTTGTTCTCCGACCAAGCATGTGACTTATCACTACGTGTCAGCTGCTCTGTTGGGCTGAGCAGGGTGGTGATTATTGAAACTGCTTGTTAGTCACTGGTTAGTTTGTCACCTGGGGTTTGTTCTGTTTATGCCTTTGTCTGTACTCCTGACAAATGAAGATAAGTATAAAATGGTGCCATTTTAGGTGGCCACTAGCCTCGGGCCTGTCCTCAGTGAGATCGGCAGCTTACCCCAGCCACGGTAAGACACACAGCACATCCTTTAGTTTAGCTGGCTTGTCTTTGGGTTTGTTTAATAGCAGGATTTTCTCAGTGAGGAAGTGTGTGCTGATACATACTCAGGCCTCATAGCCTAGCCTTGTTCACGGGGAGCCTCTGTGTGCTGCCTGGTGGCTTTGCAGGGCCTTGTTCTCAGGGCATTGGGAGGGTTCAGCCAGCCCTCTGCGCAGAGTACCAGGGGCAGAGCAGGCACAGCCCGTGTTTCACTGTCGCCCCCTCTTCAGCTTCAGCATTCCTGGTGTAGACTCCGAGACTTCCCTGCTTCCTGGTAGCATCAGAGGTGCCACAGAGGCAAGAATCTGTCCAGCACGGAGGGCAGAGCAAAGGTGGGGCTGGGTGTGCCTGGAGGCTATCCTGAGGAAGCTGCTGGCCGGCTGGCCAGGGGCTTTGCTCCTTGACCGCTGGTAGTTTAGGGAGAGTGTGTTGTCATCTCTACCACATGGACGGCTACCTGTGCTCTTCTTGGTTTTTGTTTTTAAACAAATGATTGTTTTAATCTGAATTTTGAAACTGTTAAGTTTCATATTGACAATATCTAGCCGTTCAAGCCTTTCGTTGTCTCATGATTATAATCAGAAGTTGAGAAAGGTGGAGGATCTAACTTTGTCTGAACTGCTAGTTAAAATTATGTCCTCAATGACCTCAACTCCTTTTCACTAGTCTGCTTGGTTCTTACTGAGCCACTGCTGGGCTACAGTTGGTTTGATATACTTTACACTGTCCTGTTTGAAAGGCAGAAGTTCAAGCCAGGTACGATGGCAGTCACCCACAGTCCCAGGTACTCAGGAGGCTGAAGCAGGAGGGTCCCTTGATGCTAGGAGTTTGAGGCTGTCGGGAGCTGTGATTGCACCTGTGAATAGTCACTGCTCTTCAGCCTGGGCAGCATGGTGAGACCTCATCTCTAAAAAATAAATTAGAAAGAAATAAACTTAAAAAGCATAATGTTGCTGTTCATGTCTTATTGTTTATATAGATGCTTGATCTTCATGTTTTGTGAAAGCTTCTCTCACTCAACACCAGAAAACATTAGGTATAAGCAAGCCCTGCCTAGACCCTGGGCAGGGCTCACAGTTATTACTACCGTCTGTGTCCTTCAGCACACAACCACACTCACGTTCTAGTGCCAAAAGAGAACTTTTCTGAAAAAGTCCAGAAGAGGCCGTCTTTTAATGATAAGCCTAGGATTATTTTATCTAGTGCTGTTGAACAGAAGGTTTGTGGACTGCATGTGAGTGTTTCTGCTGATACAGTTCAGCCCATGCTAGTGAGAAGTAAACCCAACCCGTACACGCGTGTGTGTGTGCCGTGGGCTGTTCCACATTTATTCCTCTCTCCCAGAGAGAAAGGCAGTTGTCCAGTTCTGCCCAAAAGGTGTTTCTTTTGAAGGCACCAGAAGATAAACCTATTTGTTGGAGGATCTGTGTTGGTGTGAATTCACACCATCAAAACTTTATAACAATGAATTTTGTGGCCATTGTTCAAATCTTTGCCCCCCGCCCCCCAGGATTGTCCTCCAGATGTACTTAGGACTGTGAGGGGTGGAATGGGAAGCTGGGCTGCTCTGCACTCCCGGTGCTGCACGGCCCGCAGCTTCAGTGTGGCACGAGACTGAAGGGAGACTGTGCTGGCAGAAAGCATAGCGTCAAGTTGGTAGTTATAATGGAAGGCCTCTGTGACTTTTGTGTTCATAGTCCCCTGTTAACTAAACTTGTGCTTCTCTCGCCCCTCAGTTGCCATATTCCAGAGAAGAGGTACGAGATGACAAGACTACGATAAAATGTGAAACTTCCCCCCCTGCCTCCCCTGGGTCCCTGCGGTTAGACAGACCACAGAAAGGAGCTCTGCACACAGTCAGCCACGAAGACATCAGGGACCTGAGAAAGTAAGGAGCAGGCGCCACCCGCAGCCCGTGACGTGCACTTATCTGTCTTCAGGGTTAAGAATCCTATCCGTATTTTGGGGGGGAAAAATGGCTTAAATTCAGTTGAGTTTATTTAAATGTTAAATCTTGAATTCCCACCACTGCTCTGGGGTCTATAGTGAAATCTATTTTGGCAAAATCAGTTTGGAAGGAAAGGAGTTAAATATCAACAATGTTTAGCAAAATTTCTTTTCTTCACATTGTACAAATTATCTCTTTTGAGAAATCTTTCTGTTCTTTATAGAGACCTTGCCAAGCAGATGACAGGTTTCTGATGATCATTGCCCTGTAGGACGGTTCATGCCTCTCAGATGCCTTTTGTGCCTTTTGTAAGCTATTGAGAGTTCCAAATTATCCTATTAAAACCAAGAAACCATTTTGTCACTAATGTACTGTCCTTTTCCAAATCACCATTTATTAGACTTCTGTTCTGTACCAGGGATTATGTGAGGGAGGGCATGTATGTTCCCTGCAGCTGACACCATGGTTCACTGCTGAGGAGTAAAACTCAGGGCAGCTTTTTGATTCCTAGTACTCTGCTCTTGCTGCTGCTGCTCCAAGTGGCTGGCCTGAGCACATCTCTCAGAGGCTGGGAGGTACCCCTGATGTAGGTCATTGGCTCCCCACTCTCATGGCTTGCAGTCCAGCCTCCTCTGAAGGGGAGCCACGTCAGAGGGAATCTTGGCATCCCAGAAACTAGTGTTTATGTTACCACCCTGGGTTGTGTGTAGAAGAGACTGAAGTTTTGGTCAGGAACACTTGGTTGTGAACAATGAGTGTTAAAAAGGTGAAGAATCGCAGTGCATGTGAGGAAATGTTCTGTTGTGATAAGGGCACGTGGTAAGAATGCCTCTCTCTCCTCCAAGCTCCGCAGGCTCCCAGGACGGTCCCGTGAGCAACCCCAGCAGTAGCAACAGCAGCCAGGACTCGCTGCACAAAGCCCCCAAGAAGAAGGGCATCAAGTCCTCTATTGGCCGCTTGTTTGGCAAGAAAGAAAAGGGCCGGCCTGGACCGACTGGCAAAGAAGCATTAGGGCAAGGTTGGCTGGTTTCCAGGAGACATCTTAAGGGTCAGGATTGGGGAGAGGAAGGAACTGTTACTTCTATGCCCGCTCTGTGCCCGACAAGCAGCTCCCTCACAAGGTCACAGGGGCCGTGTGTTCCTCACAGAGCAAAAGCTGTGCAGGTGTGAGCCCGGGGGCAACAGCCAATTCACTGGCCACTCTGAGACACAGTCAGAAACTTAGCCCAGGAAATTATCACCATCCCTGCAAATGTGCAGCCACCTGCTTATGAGGACACACAGCTTTGCCATGTTGGTTTTATTATGGGGCTGTTCTTCTTCCTTGTAGGTGGTGTTCCAGAGTCAGATAATTCATCTCCAGATGCCTTGGGACTTAGCAAGTTAGGAGGACAGGCTGAAAAAAATCGCAAACTTCAAAAAAAGTAAGCTTTGTCTATTTCTTCATCTCAATGAACCATTTTCATTTGTGCCTAATTTTTAACTAATAGCAGTGAAATGTTATGTCTAGCTGTGTAAATTACCTGCTGAAAGATTAACCTACAGCCCTTATTAAGCCATGCTTCCCAAAAGACAGAGCATTTGTGACATTCTGAAAGAAATCCTGCGTGAATGCTCAATCCACGTTGGGAAGCAAAAGGTGGAGGGGGCTGGGGAGCATTGGAGTCTGAACCCTGGTGTCTGCGACGTTGGGAAAGTGACTCAGCGTCCCTGTGCTGCCGTTTCCTCACCTGTAGGAGTGTGATCGTAGTGCATATCTTGTGTGGCTGCAGTGAACATTAATAGTCTATTAACATTTTAATTCGTAAACTAAGTCTTGATTCTGAATATAAGTAACAATATCTAGGCGGCTCAGCAAAGGAGCACAGCGGCTGTGGCACCAGGGTGAGGGCACAAAGGACTCACAGGCACACATATCTCTGAGTGTCTACCTCTGGTGCATAGGAGTGAGCTGTACACCCTGGGGAGGCTGAGATAATATCCCTGTGAACTGACAGACTTATTTCTGTAACAAAATGGGCCATGTGCAGAGTGTAAGGAACTGAGAGGCCGTGAACTTGAGAGTGGGGGAGATGGGAAGCTGGTGGTGAAGTGAGAGCACAGAACCTTGACAGAGTGACACTCGGCAGGTTCCATGAGAAATCTGACTACAGGAAACATTTTTCTGCCACTCATGTGCCTTGAGACATCCACACTGTTCCAAACTTAAGACCTAGGAGACCGTGTTCCCAAGAGGCCAGTTTGCCTTTAGTCTCTAGAGTTGTCAGTTGATTTTTCTGTTGTGAAATCTGCCTCATTTTAGTTCTCTTCTCAGAAGTCATAATAAATAATCTTTTTTTATTTTGTTAAACAGAGTCTCACTTTGTCACTCAGGCTAGAGCGCTGTGGTGTCACAGCTCACAGCAATCGCCAACTCTTGGGCTCAAGTGATTCTCTTGACTCAGCCTCCCAAGTAGCTGGAACTACAGGTGCCCACCACCATGCCCAGCCATTTATTTTTGGAGATGGGGGTCTCACTCTTGCTCAGACTGTTCTTGAACTCCTGAGCTCCAGCACTCCACCACTCAGCCTCCCAAAGTGCTAGGATTACAGGTGTGAGCCACCATTCCTGGTCTTGGTATGTGGAATTTAATATTACAACTAGGCCTTTTGCCTCCTGGAACCATGTTAGGAAAATTTTGTCCCTTAGATTTTCCTGCTATGTTTTATTTCACATCTTCTTACTTAACATAATAAAAACAGTAAGGTTTCTGGCAGTATCTCTTGGTTCTACCACCTTCAGCCCCAGAAGTTAAGTAAGAGAAAAAATAGTATAAATTGCCTAAAGTTTTTCACTCTGTTTTAAAATTTATTTTGTGATTCCCGGGAGCTGTGTTTGCATATTTTGATATAAGAGGACAGCCTTTGAATTATTTGCCTAACCATGTTATTAAATTTCATGCCAGTTTTTGCTTGCATGCGTGCATGTGTGTGTCAGTGGTAGGTCGGTTTCTGTGGAGCTGTGACGTTCAAATTTATGGCATTGGCTTTGAACATCTACCTGTGTACCTGTAACTTAAGTATCCAAGGGTGGGTCTTTCTCGGTACCCTGTGGTTACGCATAGGATGCATGTGTAAGTTCTGAAATATACTAGCAAGTTACTAGAGAAAATTTCTAGTGCAAAGCTTATTTGCCTGTAGTGTTCAATTTCATTTGTAATAGTTGACCTGAGATAAAATTGATTTTAGAAAAAGTGCCGTATTTATAAATGTGAAAAAATGTATGAGGCCTTGGGTGGCTCATGCCTGTCCTACAGCACTTTGGGAGGCCAAGGTAGAAGGATCACTTGAGCCCAGGAGTTCATGACAAGCCCATCTTTACAAAAGGAATTTTAAAAATTTAGCCAGGTTATAGTGCCATGTACCTCTAGACCTAGCTACCTGGGAGGCCGAGGTGGGACGATTGCTTGAGCCCAGGAGTTCAAGGTTACAGAGAGCTAGCTATGGGTAACACAGTCAGACCCTGTCTCTTGGAAAAAAGTAGAGTATGAGTTATCTGGTATTGTTTGAATACAGTTCAATACATGATATTAATTTAAGAACCCAAATACATTTATTTGGGTTCAGAATTATTTTGTTATTTGTGATGGTGGTCTTTTTTTTTTTTTTTTTAATTTAAAATGGGGTCTCTTCATATTACCCAGGATGGCCTCAGACTCTTGGGCCCAACCAATCCTTTCTCCTCAGCCCCTCGAGTAGCTCTCCCACTAGCTTGCTCAGACTGATCTCTTAACTCCTGACCTCAAGCAGTCCTCCTGCCTTGGCCTTCCATAGTGCTGAGACTATAGATATGAGCCACTGCACCTGTCCTACTTGTGATATTAAAACTTTTGTTGCATTCTCTGGAATAATTACTCCTAGATAATTATATTTATTATTCCCCAGAAACAAGAACACTTAATTGAAATTTTATGGGAAACATTTTCCTTAGAAAGATGGGCTATCGTTGTACATAGACTTTGCAGTCCTAAGAAAAGTCTATTATCAGTAAAATTTATTGAAATACCAATATTTAATCTTTAGAAATAAAAGATTGTATGTTTGGCCTACAGAAGTTATAGAAACATGTTTAATAGCAACCTGGGGATTCAGGAATGAACTGAACTCCCATACATACAAACTAAATGTACTTGACCGACCTCTCTGCTCTAGTGCCAACTTCTCTGCTAGGTTTTTCATTTTTTAAAATAGCTCTTTTTAAAAGCCTTATGGGTAAACACTTGAGAAATAAGATGAGATTCACCAAAGCTTATAGTGTTATCTCTCAAATTACTATAGTAGACAAAATTGTTTTTAAAGGTGTTAATATGGTGATATCATGGCTTGGGTATTTAAAAATATGGCATTCAGAGTATTTCTGATCACAGGAAGAACTGTGTGGCTGGGACTCACCCACCTGGCTGCTTTGCTGTGGATGCTGGCAGTGAGTCAGTTCTGAGGATCTGCTTTGGGGAATAGAGCTGTTAGGATTTCATATTTTCTGGGTAGGATGCCTCTGGGTTAAGCCACAGAGTGGCCCAGTGACTTAATTTAGCAAATACCTACTAGCTAAGTAGCAATGTAGAGAAAGGAACGTGCATCCATTACTTGCTATATTAGATTGTACCGCTGCAGTGTTAAAAGTCTTCCCAGCTACATGGAACCCAAGGTGGGAGGACTGCTTGAGACCAGGAGTTCTTAAGATCAGGAGTTCAAGGTCAGCCTGGGCAAAGTAGCAAGACCCCATTTAAAAAAAAAAAAGGAAAATGTCTACACACTGAGCACTGTTCTTCTGTTGTTAAATGTTAATATGTTTAAAGACTCATGGAGAGTGCCTTTGTTCAGACCTAGGTGTGGTTTCCTTTTTCTAGATATTTTTCTTCATTGTTTAAAAAGAGAATAGTGATAACGTTTTGCTTTGAATGTTCTGTTACCTTGGATGTGAAGTTGAAGGCTCTACCGACTCTGCTAGTTTTTTAAATTGGCAATAATTCTTTGATTCTGTCGGGAGATGGCGCTTAATGCAGAGAATCAGCATCTGCTCACTCAGGGGAGCTTTGTAGTATGCACAAAGCTAGGATTAAGTAGGCGATGTGGATAATGTTAAAGCTGAAGATGTGCCCCTCAGTATCTGGGGGGTTGAGTGCAGGACCTCTCCAGGGTACCAAGAGCTGAGGCTGTTGGTGTGCTGTGTATGACCTGGCATACATTTGCATGGAACCTGTGCACATCTGTGTGTGTACTTGGAATCATCTCGAAATGACTTACAATACCTAATACAGTGTAAATGCTCTGCTGTGTAAATAGTTGTTATGTTATATTGGTTTTTATTGTTTTATTTCCCCCAACCACCGTAGTTTTGATTCTCAGTTGGTCGAATGTGTGGTTGCAGACCCCATGAATAGGGAGGGCAGACTCCTACTGTTAGCCTTTCAGAAATGCTCAAAGAGGGTACTTCTGTTAATGTTTTTATATAGGCATGTCGCAATAATTCTTTAATCTGAGTCCCCTGTTATTTGTAGGCATGAATTGCTTGAGGAAGCCCGTAGACAAGGATTACCTTTTGCTCAGTGGGATGGACCAACTGTCGTCGTTTGGCTAGAGGTACATCCTTCTCTTAATACTCAGTCGAGTGTGGTACTTTATGTGGATTCATTGATCCATCTCGTACACCAAACTTAAGGTCTGGCCTTGCCATTTCCTGTCTCCAGCTCTGGGTGGGGATGCCAGCCTGGTATGTGGCTGCCTGCCGAGCCAATGTGAAGAGCGGAGCCATCATGTCGGCCCTGTCAGACACAGAGATTCAGCGGGAGATTGGCATCAGCAACCCCCTGCACAGGCTGAAGCTGCGGCTGGCCATCCAGGAGATCATGTCGCTCACCAGCCCATCTGCCCCACCCACGTCCAGAACGGTATGGTCAAGGCCAGGCCATTCTTTTGGGAGAGGAAGCACCTCCTGAAGGAGGCACCCCTGTTTGTGCTGCTTCTCCAGTTCTTTATGACACTCGTAGTGCGGTTCTCATTCAGAGATTACCAGTCAGCACTCTGGAAGGCCAAAGCAGGCGGATCGCCTGAGCTCAGAAGTTCAAGGCCAGCTTGAACAAGAGTGAGACCCCATCTAAAACTAGCTGGGCATTGTGGGGCATCTGTAGTCCCAGCTACTCGGGAGGCTGAGGCAAGAGAATCGTTTGAGCCCAAGACTTTGAGGTTGCTCTGAGCTGTGACACCACGCACTCTACTGAGGGCAACATAGTGAGACTCTATCTCCAAAAAAAAGGTTTACTATTCAAATGAGAACTTTTAATCTGTGCGAATTGGATAGTCAAAAGAAACTTCATTAAATACATTTGTAAAAGATTGCCAAGGATAGCATCATAAGATAAAAAGATGAGGCTTTTTTAAAGGTAAAAAACTAATTATTACAGATTTAGATAAGAATTTATCAAAATTGAATCAGTCTTAGGGTATTTAGAGAAAGGGAAAACTTAATGTTTGAACTACATAACTGGAACTTAAACTCTGAATATCATTTCCTATTTCATGATTCAAACTAAATGAGTGACTAGCATTTCCATTTTACATGAAGATATTTGCTAAGCAAGTGATAGTATAAATATTTTTAAAATTTATAGAATATGTATACACGTAAAGTAACACTTCATTGAATTTGTAAAATCTGTGCCCCCAGTGCAGTCAACACTCAGACTGAGAAATGGGGTTTCCCAGGGCCCTGGAGGTCCCTCCCGCCCCTTCTGAGTCCCTGCTGCCTTCCCGGGGTGAAGCCTGACCCTGACATGTGGGCCAGTCTGTTTCATACTTTATGTAAATGAGGTTGTGTAGTGTTTACTCTTTGTGTCTGGCTTATTTCACTCACTGTTACCTTTGTGCATTTGTGAGTACCATTTTGTGAGAAGCAGGACCTTAAGGAATGACATGTTTTTGTCTGTCACAGAGTTCTGGTTCTTCCAGCACCTCAGTAACATCTGTTTAAACACAGCTGACAGACTAGTAAGAGATGGTGGTTACCCAGCCATCTAGAGTGGTCCCTAAAGAAGTCTCCCTTAATTCTGCTTTGTTTACTATATATGTTATATATATATATGTTTTTTTTTTCAATAGCTAGGGAATAGAATTAGCTGGGGTAACCAGTGTTTTGTGATACTTGACTTGTTTGGCTGTCTGTTCTGGATGCTGTAGGCCCTGGGAGCTCAGGATTTTAAGCAGTTCACAGATCTGCAGATGTTCATAAAGCATAATCTGTACTCTACAACTCTCTCCAAGGTCGAAGTCCTTGAAAAGGGTTCCCCTGGTTGAAAAAGTTCAAAACTATTCTAATAAAACTGTAGTTAATGGGAGATGAGGGCAGGCCAACTCCTTAGTTAGGAAATTCAGACTCTCCATGCTGGGTGGAGTAGCTTTTAGTCTACTCTGTGAAGGGAAAACCAGCCCTCATTAGGAGATGAGAACCTGCGAGACACAGTGCTCCAAGGAGCAGGTCGAGGCTAGATTCACGGTTCATAGTTATTGTACAGAAAAATCTTTGAAGTTCATTTGTTTGTTTTATTTTTTCTTAGTGTGAAAAAGTTATAGTAATGAGCAATAAGCCTTTGTTCTTACCTATTGCTCAGAGAGCTTTTTTCCCAAGGAATGCTTTGTAAATACTATCTAATCTCTTTCATGTTAGAGTGGCCTTTCTAGAAACGATGGGCTGTGTGAGTTTTCCCAAAGTTTTTAAGAACTGTCTTCTTCAATAGTGAAGAAGAAGGGGCCTCACAAAGGTAGACTCTGCGCTATGTCAAGTGCAAGGATCAAATCTGCTCCCTCCAGGAGTTGACCACAGACAGGACAGGTGTATCGTATCTGGTTCAGTGGTTCCATGGGGCCCTTGTGTTTGGCCTGTGGTGCTCTTGCGTCTCACCCTGCCCTTGCCTCAGTTTCCCTGGCTCTGGCCATCCAGGCAGAGGCCCGTCACTACAGAGTACCTGCTGCAAGTAGCCTTATAAGAACCAAAGCAATAGTTAGACGCTGTGTTCTTTGTTGTTAATCTTTTACTGGATAAGGCTGTTTTAAATATATTAACTTGGTAGTTACTTGAGAAGTACTCAAAATTTCCAGAAGAACGAAATGTGTTTTCTTCTGTTTATATTTCATGTACCCCTGGGAGTAAGCATGGCCTCTGAATCTCTGGAAATCTGGTGCTCTTCCTCTCAGTTACTGATGATGCAGTAATAACCGGGTGTATTTTATTCATTAAAAAGGAATGAGTGGCTCAGCGCCTGTGGCTCAAGTGGCTAAGGCGCCAGCCACATACACTTAAGGTGGTGGGTTTGAATCCAGCCGGGCCTGCCAAACAACAATGATGACCGCAACCAAAAAATAGCCAGGCGTTGTGGCAGGTGCCTGTGGTCCCAGCTACTTGGGAGGCGGAGGCAGGAGACTC